GATCTCCTTTTGTGATTAAACTAAGAACTACTTTGCAGAAGTATGTTAGTAATGATCAGAGGTGGGGAGCAGAGACAATATATTCAGAATGCTTCTCCAATATGCATACCTTTATCGTAGGACATGTCACAAGGCAGGGAAATTATGTCCTTTTAAGTCTCGCTCATTAGTCTAGTGGTTCTTAACCAAAAATGTTATACCTCCCAGGGGACATTTAGCAGGGTCTGGAAACATTTTTATTTGTCATAACTAGGCTGGGTGGGGAGAGAGTGTTACTGGGTATAGACCAGTGATACTACTAAACATCCTACAGTGTATAAGATAGCTCTCCACAACAAGGAATTACCCAGCATCAAATGGCAGTGGTGCCAAGGTGCAAAAACCCTGCATTAAACTATGAGCTCCTTGGGGAAAAAGTCAGTCTTTTATATCACTTTATTCCTCAGACTGCCCAGTACCATTCCCATCACATGGTGTGCCTCTAAATAGTGTGTGTTGGAGCAGTAAAGGAGGAAGTTGACGGGTGGATGGATGAGTGGATGGATGGATAAGCTGGATAGAGGGAAGGATGATTCATAAATGGAGAGACAGACAAATGGAAGGGGAGTTCAGATGCAACTCAAAGGAAGAACATCCTCTGAACAATTGCTAACTAGTTATTGCTAGGAACAATGGGAGCCAATAATGACCACACTTCATAAAAATGTAAATTTTATGAAAAAATTCATCATCTTTGAGCAAAAAACTTAACAATATACCTAATGTATTTTGTAATTTGATAGGTAAAAATCAATATTGTTCTAGATACCCAAGAAATAAATCTAGAGAATCATACACTAATGTCCCCGAGGGTTCAGACAACAAGAAATTACATTCTTTCACAACCTTGTATAAATTATTTTTCTGATCACTTTCTGGGAGTAGTATCAGATATTTAAGCAACTGGAGTTTTGATAGTAGAAAAACCCAAATAAATTTGGAACACCTGGTATTGTCCAATTATAATGAGCCTGAATGAAATACAACTGAAGGAAGAATTAGGCAAGGAAACAGGAAAAAAA